TGGCAGTGCTATAGGATAAGCATTGGGTTGCTAACTGTAAGGTCAGCCTTTCAAACCCATTGCTTTCTGAAGGGAGAAAGATGAGGCTCTATCTGTTTCCATAACGGTTTAGTTTCAGAAATCCAAGGGTCCTGTGAGTTGGACTGGACTCAGTGGCAATGGGTTGGGTGGTCTTGGCTTATGCCAGTGGGGGCTCAGATTGGAGCAGCCTCAGGTTACTCTCCTGAGCCCATCTTAGTATTTTGAGCCCCTGCTGGTACCAAGAATGGGCAAGGCAGCCTGAAGCCTCCAGGTAGGTGGGGCAGTTGGGGGTGGGGTAGTGAGGTGGGCCAGGGGGTGAAAAAAGCAAGTCAACACAAATGTCTACCAGAGGCCCAGTCAACCGTGCAGAGGTTCGCTTCTCCCTGCCACGCCCCCCTGCCCTTCACCTGGGACTACTAAGGTGACCTTGTGAGGAAAGCCCTATATACCCGATCCCATTTGACAAATGAGGAAATTGAGGCTCTGGATGGAAAAGGGCCTGGGGGAACTTGCATCTGGGTCCTGGGCTGGCTGTGGCTGGAGGGCTTAGTGGCAGCCGCCTAGCCTGGGACCCTGGACTCCAGCCTGCAGTGGGCCTAGGGCTCCAAGCCACAGGCCCTCCCTGGAACTGGCCACCCATCCCCCACAGCTTCAGCCTTCTGGCTGAGGGAGGGGAGGCCTGCAGGGGGCTGAGGCCTGGTGGGCCCTGGTTCCAGCCCTGCCCCCTATTTCTTTCAAGGGCTCAGGGACCCTCCTAAGCTGAGGGACAAGCCTTTTTGCAGCCTCCCATGCAGGTCCCTGGGGTGTAGTAAAGGATCTCTCTGAGGTCTGGCTGAGTGCCCCACCCACCCAGCTACCCCCAGGCTGGGAAGACATGGGAGTCCTGGCTCAGGATATCCCTGGGGTAGTGAACTGTGCCTCCTGTGCCCCCACCCCAAATGGGAGGGAAGGTTCTGGATGACCAGAGTAGACGGGTGTGGGAGGCACCAAGGTAGGACCATTTAGGGAGGGGACTTCCCTCTGTTCCATCTGCCCCTGGTGGGTGGTGGGTGAGGGGGCTGAGAATCCTCTAGGACCCTGCCTCTGGTGGGGGCTGGGCAGGTGGGGGCCCTGGCTTGGGCTTTCTCCTGCTCTTTGTCTCCGAGGCCTCCCAGGTAGGACCGGCCATAGGGAGGGGCCAGTGTGTCTGTGACATGTGTCTGCACACGCACTGCGCGCCGCCTCCTTGGCAGATGGCTGCCTGGGAGAGGACTCGGCCCCAGCCCCCTCCTCTAGTCACAGCCAAGGGCTGGGGGGAGGCTGGTGGAGGCCCCACGAGACCGCCAGCTGATGGTGCCTCCTGTCCTCTCTGGGAAAGCCGCTCTGGGTCCAGCAAGCCCTGCAGCCTGCCGCCACCTGCACAATGAGCACCGTGTCTGTGCCACCACTCGGACCTCGGGGGACCCTGGGGGGCTGGAGGCGCCAGAAGCATGGTCCAAGTTCCCTTGGGTTTAGGGAGGGACTGAGGACTGTCCATTCCTGCCCCCCAGCTCCAGCCTCCCCCCACTGCAGTAGTAAGACATTGGGGCAGATGTGTCCAGAGGATATGGCCCTCCCTTCCCCCACCATCCACTGGATTGTCTGGCAGGTCCTAGCCTGCCTGAGCTGTCTTCCCTGGGCTCCCCTTGACCCCCTGCAGACCCCAACACATCCAGGCTGAGTGCTGGCCAAGCTGGGATGTACCTCCCTACCCCGTCCTCCCCAGTCCGGAGTCTCCCGCCCAGCTTCCCATGGCTGCTGCCTACCAGCCTCTCCTCCTCTAGGTCTTCGAACCCTAACCACTGACACACCCTTAGTGGTGACTCTGCTTGGCCCCGGAGGATCCTGGGCCACAAGGCTTGGAGCAGGCCCTGACAGACAGACGGTAGGGATCTGACAGGGCCAAACCCAGTGGGTGAGCCAGGCCCCTCAGGCCATGCCATCCCTCCTGACCAGAACATGGCTGGTAGCCACCTCCTCCAAGTGTGTGTCGGGGGACAAGCCCAGCTCTCACTGTGCCCTTGGGCCAGTCACTTCCCTCTGGGCCTCAAGCTCCTCCACACCCACTGTTCCTCCCTCTGGGGTGGTGGGTATAGTGCGTGAGTTCATGTGCATGTTCTAGTCCATTCAGAACCAGCTGCTGGGGAAAAGTGAAAGGGAAGGTGTACAACAGGGGTGGGGTTGGGGGGAGAGGTGATGGTCCTATCCAGTCCCACTCTGCCCTTTCACTGATGGGGAAAATGAGGCCTGCATAGTCTTAGGGCAGGGACAGGGAGGTGCCTTACTTTCTGACCTAGCCTTGTCACCCAGCCCTAGTGGTGGCAGCTTCTCTGGTGAAGAGAGTGGAGCTCTGGAAAGGGACATTCATTGAGGTCTTCTCTCTCCAAGTAGTCTTGGACCCTGCCTGTGTCCAAAGATAGCTGTGCCTGCTGCAAGTCCCCTCTACTGCTAAGAGGCACCACATGCCGGGCTGAAGCTGCCCAGGGCCACACGTTTGTGCATTGGGCTGAGCAGCCTGGGTGTGCTCACACGTTGGCAGCACTTGTCATGCATTTGTGGACTCAGGGGAAGTATAGCAGCAGCATGGAGCCACTGTTGGGCTGGGGGTCCTGCCGTCCACACTGTGGACCTGAGTCAGAACTTCTCAGCCTGGCACCTGGAAGAACAGCTGGTTGCAGCTGCAAGAAGCCGAGGCCTGAAGAGGGTGAGTCAGGGAAGGCTTGCTGGAGGGCCAGGGAGCTGGCAGCTGGAGGGGTGAGCACCAGGGCTCCTGAGGAGGAGGTGCTGAAGGGCAGAGCCTGGGACAGAAAGCTCAGGACTCTCCTCTATGTAGAGTACTCCATAGCTCCCCTGTGTCCTCCAGGCCCTGGCCTAGCCACTCTCTCGGGCCTCTCTCTTCCTCTACTGAAGGTCAGGCAGTTTCTCAGTGCATCAGGTGGGGCTACAGCTCCAGGACTGTGCTGACCCGGACTTTGGGGTCTGGTAAAACTAGTTGCTGTCAAGTCTACTTGTGACTCAAAATGGCCCCGTGTGTGTTGGACTTGTATTGTGCTCTGTATATAACAAAACACTGATTCTGACTCAAAATGACCTGTAGGACCCAGTAGACCTGTCCTGTAGGGGTTCTGAGGCTGTAAATCTATGGGAACAGAAAACCTCATCTTTCTTTCGCGGAGAGGCTGGTAGATTTGAACTACCGACCATGTTGTTAGCAGGCCAATGCATAATCCATTCTGCCACTTGGGCAACTCATTTTTCAGCAGCTGAAAAGCAGTTCAAGTCTGTCTTGAAGAGTGCTTCTCAGTGCACTTAAACCTCCAGCCTCTCAGGGAGCAACTGTACCCATTAACCATTTGGACTCACCCAGGGTTGGAGTCTGATGGGTGAGGTGGCGCTTGGCTTGTCACTTCACAAGCTCTGTGACTTCCCCATCTGGGAAAAGGGGGGAATAGAAATCACTGGGAGGCTTTTTTGGTTTTTTTTGGAGCTGCTACCACCCCATGGTATCTGTTCCCTAACACACAGCACACCCCTCTCTATCACCCAGCTTCTCCCACAGTGATCCCTGGAGGGCTGGGGTCTGTCCCATTCAAAGGGTGGAGGGTGGGGGAGGGCCTGGCCTTGGAATAAATAAATGAGTGATTGAATCTGGAGTGCTGAAGGAAGGCCAAAGTCCAGAGCTCCCCAGCCCTCCACGCTGGCAAGTGCTGGTCACACTGGGCCAGGTGCCTGTGCCCGGGTCAGTAGCTGTATTTGGGATGCCCTGTGCTCCCTGCCCTTTGTGCAGTGGGCTGCATACCACCACCTGCCCCATCCTGCCCCCAAGCAGAGAACCCCTGTGTCCTGGGTCCTGGTGCTACTGGGCCTGTATGTTTGGGCCCAGGTGTGACATAAGTGCATGAGCCTGTATGTGGGTCCTGAGGGCCCATCTGTGGGGCAAGGGACCATATCTTCACTGGCCTCAGAGAGAGTGCCTCTGGCTGAGTGCCCAGGCCTGCCTGTCCACCCATGGGTGGCCCTGCTGCTTGGCCCTGCTGGGTATGTGTCCCCATCTGGCTCCCCTCCTTGCCGGTGCGGTGCTGGCCCCTCCCAGGGATTTGGGCTGCCAAATTTGGGCTCAGCCCTTCCCTCCCCTCCCAGCCCGGGTGGGTGGGCACCGGTTGGTGGGGGTGCTGCTTTGCTCACGCCTATCTGGCTGAGGCCCAGGTGCAGGCAGTGCTCAAGGCCCCACGCACTCCCGCCCCCGCCCCCCCCTAAGCTGGGCAGACAGGAAAATACCAGACATAGTTGTGCAAAGGTGGCTGCGGGCAGGCAGGCAGGCAGGCAGCAGGGGGTGGGGGCCACATTAGGGCTGGAGCCACCGGGCCGAGGCGGAGCCTGGTGCCAGGCTGGCCCTGTAGCTGGACGGGCACACACCCAGGTGTGAGGGGCTCTCCAAACTTGGGTCGCGGCCCTTGGGAAAGAAGTCAGGCGAAGGGACCCTGGGGATCCTGAGGGGATAGGGATCCAGCCGGCCTGCCTCCCTGCATCAGCTGTGCCTCTGACTATCTAGGTGACCTTGGCAGGCCCCAGTTTCTGTGTGGGGGCACCTCAGTCCAAGGCTGGGCCAGCAGACCTCTGGGCTACCCTGTTGCTGGCTCTTTCTCAGTGTACCAGGTGCCAGCCCAAGGCCCAAGCCAAGTCAGTGAGCTGGGAAGCCCATAAATTGTAGGCTCAGGAAGATAAGGGGCCCCACCCGAGGCACCCACCCTCCACTCCAACCCCCACCCCCACCAGGAGCAACCCAGGGCAGGCACCGAGGTATCATACCATAGGTGGCTCCTGACACACCTTCAGAGGTGTTCCCAGGGCCTCCTGAGTCCGTTCACACTCATACTTGAACTTGCACTGGCCTGTGTGGTGGGGTTTGAGGCTGGCTGTGTACTTGTCTCAGGGTAGGGAGGGGTAGGTCTGCAGGTCTGTCAAGCAAAGAGATCAGAATCTCTGGTTGGAGAGAGACTGGTGGAACCCCTGAGACTCTAGCTCTCAGCCCCCCTTCAGGTCTGGAAGTGAATGCATTCTCTTGGTCCCAATTTTCTGCCAAACAATACCCACCTACCCACCCCCTCCAGTTCCATGGAGTCATAGGTCCCGACTCCTAGTGACCCAATAGGACAGAGCAGAACTGCTCCCTGGGGTTTCTGAGGATGCCTATCCGCACGGAGTCAACAGTCTCATCTCTCTCTCCCAAGTGAATGCGACTGAGCTGGAGGTTAGCAGCCCAGCACTTAACCTGCAGCTTCACCAGGGCTCTTTGAGAAGTTTGCCGAGAAGGGGAAAGTTCCACCATCTCAGGAAAATCTTGTCGGTTCTGGCCCGTTTCCTGGAAACCCCTGGCCTGCTCCTTTTAGAACTATCTGCACCTCCGTTGGACCTGGGCTCCAGAAGGTGGGTCAGGTCTGGGGTCTCAAAATGGGCAGGCAGGGTGGGTGAAGTCTCCTAGTGAGACAAACTCGGACAGACTGTGCGTCTGTGGGGAGGGCTGGAATCCCTGCTGGGTTGCCCTCCCTGCCCATGTTTCAGCCACGGGGACTCTTGAATTCACACACCGCTCTTATTCCTCCTACCCTGTTTCCCCGAAAATAAGACCTACTTACAGTTTTGCCTCTCGCTGAAATATGACATCCTCCCGAAAATAAGGCCCCCCGAAGCTACCATAACTCTGGACTCTGGACCATAGCGGCGGGCGCCACTTCACAGCTCACTGTTGGCCGCAGCGCAGCTGGAGCAGACAGGAAGTGCAAGGTCTCTTTTAATAAAACAATAAACAATAAACGTGTACTGTATTCTTCATGGAAAAATAAGACATCCTCTGAAAATAAGACCTAGTGCATCTTTGGGAGCAAAAATTAATGTAAGACACTGTTTTATTTTCGGGGAAACAGGGTAGATGCCTGGCCCTGATTCAGGTGCCGAACCGTACAAACCAGGGAGCTTCAAAACTTTTGTGGGAAATCCCTTTATCTTTCAATTCCTGTCTTCCACCATCGTTTTCTTTTTCTTTTTCCTCCCCATGAACATTTTCTCTCATATTGCTGGAAACTGTAAATCCTGAATGGGTGTGCAGAATGTCATTGAGGCTCTCCCAAAATCCAACGGGGTTCGTTTACTATGGACACCGACCCCATTTTAAAAGATGAAGATGTGGAGGCTCCAGGGGGAGAAGACTCGCCCCAGGTCACATGGGCAGTGGGCAGTAAAGCCAGGCGGGATCCCAGGAGAGCTGATGCGGGTTTGGGGGCCTGAATGGAAGCCAGGTCCTACAGAGAAGAAGCCTTTCTCCCTGCCCACCCACCCACTCCGCCCCCAGGTCTTAGCCCAGCCCCTAATTTCCCCTCCACCCCCCAGTCCTAAAGCTGTGCTCAGAGAGGGAGGGTGGAGCTTTTGGCTCAGCTGGGCGTGGCGGTCCAGTTCTCTGGAATGCATGGCTTTGGGGCGTTTGCTTTGGCAGCGTATTTGCCTTCAGCTCTCCAAGCCTCTGGCAGGCCTTCCCAGCGCCCACCCACTGCCTGCTGCTGCCTTCCTAGGCTCCAGTGCCCCCGAAAGTCCCATTTGCTTGCCCCTCCCCAGGCCTATGGCACAGGCGTGGTTCTGGGCCGGATCACTGGCTGGAACCTGGCCACAGACAAGCCTCAGGACCTTGGACAAGTCCCTCAATCTCCCAGCACCTCAGTGTTCACAGCTGTGAAATGGGGATGGAACAGCACCTACCTCCACGAGGTGGGATTGGCAGGTGCTAGTATGGTGTCAGACTGCCAGGGGCCCACTGGCCAATCCACCCACAGTTCCCTGGGGTGTCCCCCCCTCTGTAATGCCAGTTACCAGAACACACAGGGAGAGGCCTTGCAGGGGTCCCTCGCACTTTCTGTCTGATACCAGGAAGGCATTTGGACATTTGGGAATTGTGTCTGGGCCCCTGTGGCCAGGTCTTACGCCAGATGGACCACAGCTCAGAGCGGTGGTTTGAGGACTGCACGGGAATGAAGGGTGTATTGGCTACTCCCCAGACTCCAGGCTACAAGTGGTGGGTGGAAACAACCCAAAGGGCCTTATCCTCTCCCAGGAGACCCCAGTGGGCTCAGTGGGTGTGCCCTAGCCAGCTGCCCTTCCGGAACAGGGAAGGAGGGGGCTTTACCCTGAGGCCAGATTCCAGCCCCTCTGCTGTCATTAACAGCATGACCTCAAGCTTCGGTTTTCCTATTTGTACAACACATTTCCCAACCCACTGCCCTCCGGTCGCTCTGACTCACAGCAAGTGACCCTATAGGATGGATTAGAGCTGCACATAGGGTTTCCAAGGCTGTTAAGTCCTTAAGGAAGGAAGTATGCTGCCACATCTTCCAGTGAAGGCCTGGTGGGTTTGGATGCTTAACCCATTGCGGCACTAGGACAACTGCCAGCGTGTGCTCACTATAGCAGGACTGGTGGCACGGGGTTAGGGACTCAGCTGCTGAATGACAGGTCTGAAGTTCAGGCCTCCGCGGGAGAAAGGGGTGGTGGTCTGCTCCCGAAAGCGTCTAGACTTGTCACCCTGTGGGCCAGCTCTGCTCAGTCGTTATCTTGTCTGGATTTTGGATTCACCACGGGTGGGAGAGGGGGGTTGCATCCATACCTAAGTTGCCTGGCACGTGGGAAGGGCAGAGGGTGAAGACCACCTGCCCTTACTTTTCAGAAGTGGGAGCCCCTCCTGCCAGTTCCCGCCAGGTGACCCTGATGGTTGCCCTCCAGTTGGAGCCAAGGCGAAAAGCTAGCCCCGCCCCGCGCTCTGTCCGCCCCGTCCCGGGAGGTGGAGTAAGGAGGGTCCCTCGCCCTACCTGGCCCGGGGCGGGGACAGGCAGAGGCAGGGGCAGGGGCGCTGCAGCTGACGGCCGTCTGCTGGGCGTCCGGCGGGCTCGCACAATAGCAGCCATTGTCTCCCTTTGGCCAGCAGAGGGGCGTGCGGCCCGGCCCGGAGGGGCCAGCCCACCCGCCGGGTGACCCCACCCCCCACCCCAAGGGCGGGGCGCTACCCCCACCCCCGCCGCCCTGGTGGTCCCCCTGGCCGCCCCCGCGCGCTTCCTCCCTCACCGCCGCCGCTTCCTCCGCGCCCTCCTCGCTAATTAGTTCCTTTTGCAGCTGGAGAAGCCGGGCGGGAGGGTGGTCATCTGGGCGGAGGGGGGCAGAGGCCGTCGCGTTCAGCGTCTCCAACTTGCCCCGTGCCCCGGACGCTGCAGACAGCGGGGGTCCTGGGTGTGTGATCTTCCAGCTACCCCACCCAGTAGAGGGCTAGTGGATGGATGCCACTGAGGCATCAGGAAAACGGAGGCAGGCAGCAGAGTTCAGAGGATGCCAGCTCCGGGGGACGTGGGCAGCCTTGGTTAGGAAGCTGTCTGCGGGCTGCGGAGGGTATGGGAGGGGGCATATTTCACCTGAGCATCCCTCCTTTACTAAACCAGGACACGGGGTGGTCTGTCAAGCCTATTAATTGTCTGGGGCGCTACTGGAGGTGACAGCCTGGCTGATGGAGGCAACCCCCCACACGCCCCGCCCTCAGGGTTCCAGACTGGGCCCCGCCCCCTCTCCAGCCTTGTAAAAGCTAGCCAAGATCTCCAGGCGTGCAGGGACCTGGCTCTCGCCTGCCCCCTCCACCCAAGCCAGGAACAAAGGGCTGAACCAGGAGCCCAAAACCGGCTGTGGCCGGCCAAGGGTGGGGGAGGTAGGGTGAGGGGTGGAAGGCGACACTTTGAGGTCGGCCAAGGTTAAAGCAGGAATGGGGTCACGGAAGGTCTTCCCCCCTGGGGTGGGAGTGCTGGGCTTTGGGGGCGGCTCCTTCCTCATTTCCCAGGAGGGGGAGGCGGGGCCTCGTGCTGGACTCTGCTTCCCTGGCAGGAAGTGGGGGTGGGCTCCCTGGGGAGTAAGTGCCCTCTGCCGGCCTTGGGCACGGTGCCAGGGCCCCACCCTGGGAGACAGGCCCATTCTGGGTCCTCTCTAACTCTGGTCTAAAGCAGTACCCCTACCAAGGTCTGGAGAACAAGGTCACCCACGACCCCGCCCATTCTTCCAAGCACCGTGCCCCTGGGCCGGGGTTGGAGGTGGGGCAGTGCCAAAGTATGGCCCCTGTGCAATTTCCCCCGTGTCACAGGACCCTCGAAATCTTTACTTCTCAAACCTTCCAGACCCCGTGGTCCCCTTCTCCAGAAGGTCAGAGCTGGGTTGGGGGTGGAGGCTGTGGAAAGGCCTGTGGCCCTGGGCCAGCTGAGGAGGACCAGGCCACCAGCCCTTCCTGGCTCCTGAATTCTTAATCAGCATAAATATTTACTTCCTTCCTCCCCTTTGCAGGCTCCCAGCACAGAGGAGCTTCAGGGAGGTGGGTCAATTTCTAAAAATAAACAGGTGGAGGGACAGTCAGACATAGACAGACAGAGCTGAACGGGGGTGGTGTCAGGGGCTGGGCAGCTCCTTGTCCACCTGGATGAAGAGGAAGGCAGGTCCATCCCTGCCTGTTGGCCTTGGCCTGGGGTTCCAGGAGAGGGGAGGGTGGGAGTCTGAGGACTGAAGATGGCAAATTCCAGTAGATGGGTCAGGCCTGGGGACTCCCAGCCTCAACCTGGGTAAATTTATGGGGATGGCATGCTGTCTGCATGGCCAAGGGGGTTGGGATCTTAAGGTGCACCGCTAGAGCAAAGAGCGCTATGTGAGGACGAGGACTGTTCTGGGAGGGATTTGGCTGAGGTGGAACCTGTCTGGGGCAAAGGCTGGAGCAGGCTGGAGCTGATCAATTTTGCTCTGGGGGCTGGCTAGGAGAAGAGAGCCAGGGGACCAGGAGCTGCCCTCCACATGCGCACACCAGGGGGTCAAAACCAGGCAGATACAAGGACAGAATAGAAGCAGGATTCTCCTAAAACTACCAGAGGCTGGTTACCTCCACACCCCTGCTGGCCTGGTCCAGCCACAGCCTCTAGCTGCCCCCTGGTGGCAGTCTGAACTCTTGGGCCTGTGGGCAGGCCCCTCTAGGCCTCCCCTGGGAAGTGGGTCCACTTCCTGGCTCTCTTCAGACCCTTCAAGGCCTAATCCTCAGGAAGAGTCACAGCTGCTGCGGTGGGGGGCGGGGGAGTGGCAGCCAAATGAGGTCTGGGTCCCTTGGACATGCTTTGCTCCTCTGCCTGACTTGAGGTGGCCTGGCTTCCAATGGGGCACTGTTTCCTTCTGGAGCAGGTATAACTGCTGAGCCTGCCTGGCCAGTGTTGTAAGAGCTGGCCATGAACCTGCTGCTTCCTAGCTCTACGTCCAGAGACAGTTTCTCTAGAGCTCATTTTCATAGCCAAATGCAGATCATGAGTTCAGAGAAGATTCTTAGAAGTGCTACAGACCCACATTCTATCATTCACCTACAGGTTAGGGCTGGGGGAAGAGGCTCTCATTGTCCCGGCTCTGAAGAGAAGGCTGGAGCCACAGTGTCACAGTGCAGCTTCTGCTTCCCTCCAGGTTCTGGTCTGAAGAGCTGCCTGGTGCCCCCGTGCTTGCTCCCAACCCCGGCCTCCCACCACCATGCACTCCTTGGACGAGCCGCTTGACCTGAAGCTGAGCATCACCAAGCTCCGGGCGGCAAGAGAGAAGCGGGAGAGGACGCTGGGGGTGGTCCGCCACCGCACCCTACACAGGGAGCTTGGCCTGGTAGATGGCAGTCCCACACCTGGCTCCCCAGGCTCCCCACCCTCAGGTACTGCACCCATCATGCCAGGCCTCTTCAGTGTTTCCTGTTGGTTCTCCCGACAGCTTGGCATTGTGGGAGGAGGACACTCGCTTGCAGTTAAGATGGGATTGAAACAGAGCACTCTGGGATAACTTAAGAGGGCCTAGTGGGGCTGCAGTTAGGTACCCGGCTGCTCACAGGAAGGCTCAAACCCACCAGACGCTCTGCGGCTGAAAGGGGGGTTGGTCTGCAGCTGTAAAAACGTAGTTTCTGGAACCCAGTGGGGCAGTTCTCGGTCCTACAGGGTGGGTGACTGTGTCAGAATTGACTTGGCGGCAGTGAGTCCCCAGGGGGGGGGATGTAGGAAGTTCAGGGGGACTCAGAAGCAGCTCCCCAAAGCTGGGCCTGTCACATTTGTCAGCAGTTCAGGCTGACCTGACACTTGGAAGCTCTTGTGAGCTTCGAGAATGTGGAGGGTGTCTGCATCCAGGGTCACTGCCTCTCCTCTAGGCTTTTTGCTGAACCCCAAGTTTCCCGAGAAGGTGGACAGCCGCTTCTCAGTGGCCCCTCTGGTGGACCTCAGCTTGTCCCCACCATCTGGACTGGATTCCCCCAATGGCAGCAGCTCACTGTCCCCTGAGCGACAGGGCAATGGGGACCTGCCTTCAGTGCCCAGCGCCCAGGTAAGGAAGGAGCGAGGGACTGGAGAGTGGGGGTGATGGGGTAGCAGAGCACTGAGCAGCCTGTCCCGCACTCTTTTGCTCCAGGACTTTCAGCCGCTGCGTTACCTGGACGGCGTGCCCAGCTCCTTCCAGTTCTTCCTGCCCCTGGGCTCTGGGGGTGCATTGCACCTGCCCACCTCCTCCTTCCTCACTCCCACCAAGGACAAGTGCCTCTCGCCTGAACTACCCCTCCCCAAGCAGCTAGTGTGCCGCTGGGCCAAGGTGAGTGGGCCGGGAGGGAGGAAGGGAGAGAGGGGGGAGGGGCAGGTGGCATACCAAGTTCAAATCCTCCCCATCACACAGTGCAACCAGCTATTCGAACTCCTGCAAGACCTGGTGGACCATGTCAATGACTACCATGTCAAGCCCGAGAAGGATGCTGGGTACTGCTGTCACTGGGAGGGCTGTGCTCGCCACGGTCGGGGCTTCAATGCCAGGTGAGGGAGGCCGGTGTGGGGGTGGGAAGGGAAGGGGGCAAGGCCCGGCGGCCAGCGAGCTGACGGCCCTCCTGCCACACCCCACTTGGAGCAGGTACAAGATGCTGATCCATATCCGCACGCACACCAATGAGAAGCCCCACCGCTGCCCCACCTGCAACAAGAGCTTCTCTCGCCTGGAGAATCTCAAGATCCACAACCGTTCACACACAGGTGGGAGGACCCGCTGGGGCGTCGGAATGGGGAGGGAGGGGGGCGCCATAGACGCATCTGTTTGCAGGGATGCTATTTGCTTGGGGGGTGGGGGGACAGACCCCAGCCCTGCGGCTTACAGCCTAGCCTAGTCCTTTGGTGCTCTGCCTTGTCCGCACCTCTGGGGAGCATGGGCTGTGTGTCCTCGGCCTGGCCCTCCCTGAGTCCCCTGAGTCCTCATAGCTCTCTGGCCGAGGGAAACAGAACACCAAGCCAAGTCTGTGCCTTGCTGTTTTTTCTAACTGCCACGCCAGAAGTAGAAAGAAATAGAGGAGGAAATCATCGTGATGTTTTATTCAACCAGTATCTTTGAGACACAGGCATTTTCAGTCTTAGAAAAAGAGAAGTCCCTGAAGGTGAGAATGGTGCTGTCAGAAAGGTCACAAGGAAAAAAAAAAAAGGAAAGTTCACAGGGATTGACAGCCTGTGGAAGCAGCTGTTTACTACGTACACATAGGGGCTACCAGGAGGCCGTGTGAACTTAGTGACAACTGGTTATGAAAATCAAGGTCTTTGCAGTTTGTCTGCTTGTGTGGGTCACTCATCTGCACAGCTCCATGAATGGTCAGTGCAGTAGGCCCAAATCAGAGGGCAGCCAGGGTCCTGGTGGCATGACCATTCTCAACTCCAAGGGTCATGTTGGGATACATGCTAGCTGCTGGGACAGCCTGTGGCTCAGGGGAGCCTTGGGAGGGAGGGGAGAAGAGCCCTGACGCCCTTGGCCTGCTCACAGGTGAGAAACCCTATGTCTGCCCCTACGAGGGCTGCAACAAGCGCTACTCCAACTCCAGCGACCGCTTCAAGCACACGCGCACCCACTACGTGGACAAGCCCTACTACTGCAAGATGCCTGGCTGCCACAAGCGCTATACCGACCCAAGCTCACTGCGCAAGCACATCAAGGCCCATGGCCACTTTGTGTCCCATGAGCAGCAAGAGCTCCTGCCACTGCGCCCGCCTCCCAAGCCCCCACTGCCTGGACCCGACACTAGCCCCTATGTCAGCGGGGCCCAGATCATCATCCCTAACCCTGCTGCCCTCTTTGGAGGCCCTGGCCTACCTGCCCTGCCCCTGCCCCTGGCCCCCGGCCCCCTTGACCTCAGCGCACTGGCTTGTGGCAATGGTGGAGGGGGCGGAGGCACAGCAGGTCTGGGGCCTGGGCTGCCGGGCCCAGTCCTGCCTCTCAACCTCGCCAAGAATCCACTGCTGCCCTCACCTTTTGGGGCTGCTGGACTGGGCCTGCCAGTGGTTTCCCTCCTTGCTGGCTCCACAGGCAGCAAGGCAGAGGGGGAGAAGGGGCGGGTCTCAGGGCCAGCTAGAGCCCTGGGCTTGGAGGGCCGCAAGACGCCCTTTGAGAGGACTGAAGGTGGCCGCTCCCGGCCCAGCTCTGATGGGCCGTCCCTGCTGCCTGGGGCTGTGCTGGACCTGTCCACCGGAGTGAGCTCTGCGGCCAGCAGCCCTGAGGCACTGACTCCCGGCTGGGTGGTTATCCCGCCAGGCTCTGTGCTGCTCAAGCCGGCCGTGGTGAACTGAGCACACAGCTCCAGGCCCACCCTGACGAACAGAAACTCTTCTGCGAAATAGCAATAATGTCCTCCTGCCTGAGGGCGCAGGCCCAGACTGGCCAGTGCAGGATGGTGCTAGGTTGCTGCCAGCTCCCAAAGGGGCACTGGACCTGCTGTCCAACAGAGCTGGGCTTTTGAGTCCTGAGGTGGTGCCCACTTCTGGTCGTCCTGTCCTCACTCCACCCAACCTTCAGCCTCAATGCCTTTTCAGCTGGCAACCCCAGAAAAGTGGGGTCAGGGTGACACCCACCCCACCCCAAGAGCTGAGACCAGGAGCCCCAAGAAGCAGAGGCCCTGCCCACTTCAGACATCTGTTTCTGGGCTCTGGGACCCCTTTCCTCCCTCGACCCACCCTCCCAAAGGAGGGCCAGACAGACAGAAACCACCTATTCCTACTCTCCCCACGACAAGGTGCCTCCTCCCCTAACCACCAAGAAGGGAGGCCCGCTCTGCCTGAAACCCCAGTCCACTTCCTTTTGGACATGGTTGGCACTGCCGAAGACTGAACAATGACGACTTGGCCTGCAAGATACCTGTCACCCGCGCCTCTGAGCCTCCTGGTCTGTGGGGGTGGGGTAGAGTGGGGCAGAACCTGGGGGCATGGGAAGTTGGCTTGGATGGCCAGGGAGTGCAGGGCAGTGGCCAGTGTCTTTCCTGCCTGAGCTCATTCATCCTCAGCTATGGGTAGCAGCTGGCTGAAACACCCAAGGCTGGGGATACAGTGCAGGGGAACACGGGGTTAGAAGAAGCCCCTGCAGGGGGCTGTTCTCCCCATGGCCTCCCTCAGCTCCCCAGCCTTGACTAATTCAAGGGCCTGACATATAGCATAAGGGGAGCACTGTGCCCCAAGGCCATGACAAGTTCCCACCAGGCCTGTTGCTGACCCCCCTGAAAGAGCACCTGGCGGCTCTGGCTCCTAGCCTCCCAACCCTAGAACCTGCCCCTCACCAGCCGTGTTACCAGTCCCCACACCTTCCCAGCTGCTCTGCGGCCTAGCCCTTACAGACTGCCCTTCTGTACCAGAGGGGTCACCCAGATCAGCCAAGAAACCCAGCCTCTGCCAGCATCAACAGTCCTGCCTGCCCCTAAGGGAGCTGGCCTCCCTTCTTGTAGCCCCTCTCCAGGGCCCCATGATGGGCAGGTGGGCAGCACGTGGTTGGTGGTAAACCAGGCTCCATGTTGGTGTTGCCAGACTGGGGTATACACCCAGGAGAGCAGTATTTAACAGGTTCTAAGTGCCTTTCTATTGTAGCTTACGTTCCTCCTGGCTCAGTGGCTGTTAGCATAGAGTTTAAAGAGAGAAAAAGAGAAGCTAATGACTAGAACAATGTACTCCTCCAGGTGAGAGGAAGTTTATCAAGAGACAATAAAGCCCGTTGCAGAGGCGAATGTCTTGCGTCTGGTTGCCTCCATCACCATTCACACACAGCGCACCGGCGTGCCTGGCCACCCTGCTCAGCTATGGGGAACCCCTTGCTTCCCCAGCTGCAGACGACATTCTGCCACAGAACCCCCAGATGCCATATTCACATCCAGCTCCCAGGGCTGGCAGGCAGGGCAGGGGCACAGGCACAGAGACCCCGAAAAGGGCATTTATTAAGTGGGCTATAAATTAAAGGGGGCGGGGCAGGGTCACGTCCTGGATGCCTGTTCCTTCTCTCTGTCCTCCTGGGCCTGGATCTTGAGCTCCTCCTCAAGGCGCTCCTTTGCACGGACCACCTGGTGGGTAGGTGAGGGGCATGCCTTAGCCTAGGCAGGTTCCTACCACTGGCAAGGTACAAGGGAGTGTCATCAGTTCCCCCCTCCCGCAGGGTTTGGGACATGCCAGGCTCTGAGTTGCCATGCTGGCCCTCACCTTGGACTGCAGGTAGAAGGAGCCACCCACCGATTTGTCGTTTACCTTGAACAAATGTTCATAATTCTGGAAAGGAGAGGAGAGGTGACTGGTTAGAGGTTGGAGGAAGTTGCTGGAAGGCAGCAAAGGAGACCTCAGAAGGCTTGACCCCTGGAGGGGTGGGGGTGGTGGGGTCGGTCGGTCATCACACCCTGGAACTCGGGCCTCACCTTTTGGATGTCCTCAGGGCTAAGCTTGGCGACATTGAGGATCTGCTGGGCTTCCTGCAGGCTGAGGCCCGATAGGTTGGAGGCAGCAGCTGACTGGTGGCCGGCCCGACCCCGGGCATCAGCAGCTGCCCGGCTGGCTGTATGAACATCAGCACATATTCAGCCCTCAGTGGCCCTGGGGCTAGCACTCCCCCAGGGCCTCCTGCTTGGGCAGCTCATTCTGGCTGGAGTGGTTTTGTGGGGTGGGGCACTGCACTGAGTGGAATTCTGTTATCAGCCCCCCAGTGAGACCAGAGATTACCCTGACCCTCTCATTGCCCAGGCACAGCAAATCTGGCAGCTTTGGTCTGCTCTGGGGTCCAGACCAGAGAGGGCTATGGACAAAGGAAGGTGCTACCAGCTCAACTGGGACAGCAGGCTGCCTGGGAGACCTCTTCCCCTCTGGGGCACTTTTCTGCAAAGAGCCAGCGAGCAAATACTTTAGATTCTGAGGACCAAACCAGCTGGGTCTGACAATAAAGCAGGCCGCTAGACAAAGCAGAAAGATGGGCATGGCTGTATTTCAATAAAACTTTACTTACAAAATAGCCATTCAGGGGTCAGTTTGCCCACAGCTGCCCTGTTGTTAGCTGCAGAGTGGATTCCCGGTGACCCTGGTGCAGCGCAGAACTGCTACATGGGGCTTGCAAGGCTGGGAACTTTGGGAAGCAGACTGCCCAGTGCCCCTGGGTGGGCATAAACAAACCCTTTAGGCACTCAGTGCCATCAGGGCCCCCAGTCCTGTCCTGGGTGCTCTTTTCAACTGGGTGGGATAAGAAAGAACCTCTTGTCGGTGTAGGGGTTTCCCAAAGCCAACACCTCCCTCACAGCAGGGAAAGCACCCCAGAGCCTCAGCCACAGAAGGACCCCCTGCAGCTCCCACCGCCCAGCCTCATGCACCCCTGGCCCATGCTCACCTGCAAACTCCTGCCGCAGGGCCCGGGCAAAGGCTCTGCCCACCACCTGCACGCTCATTACGATGATCTGGGCCAGGTACTTGGCCTGCAGGCAGAGGTGAGCTGGTGAGCAGGTTTCTACAGACTCGCCACTGCCCTCCCCAGCATCCCAACAGATTGCTTCGAGGGCTTCAGGATGTTCAACGGACACAGGCAGGCTGAGAAAGAGGTCCTAATGGGACTGACTCCCAGAGGCAGCCAAGCCCCTCCTGAAGTCTAGGAGAAGCACTGAGACGAAGTGGCCCATAAGGGACAGAAGTCACTAAGGGGTTCGGTAAGCCTAGGCTGAGGCACATGCTCCTTGCCTCTCAAATCTACTAGTTGAACCTTCATTTCACAGTTCCTTCTAATACCACCCAGGCCATGCAAGTCCTGGGGTTCCACTGGCATTGTTTGGGGACCCCACAACAGACTGAGCTGCCTCAGGGAGTTTTTTTTCCCTGTAGTGGAGACACAGCAGACGGGCCTCCCACAGTGCTGCTGGGGAGGTTCAAACCTAGAGCTCTGAGGCCAGTTCCTTCAATACAGTTACTAAGTGTCTGCTGAGTGCAAAACTACTGCCCATCTTTCAAAGAGCTCAAAGCCCCCAGGAGGGAACTGAAACAAACACATAAAGAACCAAAGAACAAGCCCCATATAAACCCAACTAACCAGTGTTCTGTCGATTCCAACTCTCCACAGCTCCATGCGTGTCAGACTGGAGCTGTCCCCTTGGTCGATTCCAAGGGCCTGTCAGGCACCACTGGGTGCGTCTGGAAGGGCCAGTCCCTTTGGTCACCCACCCACTCCTTGTTTGTTCACACACATATTGAGTGAATCTCCCAAGCTCTCTGCCAGCACTGGGAGTCTGATGGTACACAAGACACACCCCAGCCCTGCCTGGCAGCAAGGTGGTCTAGACCCAGGGGCCCAAGCAGCGGAATCTCACTGACCAGTGGCCAGAGGGGGCCACCAGAAAGATACGGGGTTTCCTCCAGCTGAGTCTGGAAGTGAGCGGGAATGCTGGGAGTCAGGTCAGGGAAGAGGGGTTGTGGGCCATCGGTGAAGTGATGACTGGAAGGGGCTTGCATTTTCTGACTTCGAGTAAAGCTCAGCTGCTGCTGACCCCCTCACGTGTTCAAAGCCAAGGGCCAGGCTGCCTGGAGCTGGGCCACAGGTGGAGAGATATGAGGAGGCCCTGGCACCCATCTCCTCCATTGTGCAACAGGAGCAGGGGCAGAAGGCCACTAGCCCACAGTGTGGCAGGAAGCCCCACAGGCCTGCAGCAACCCCAATGCCTCTCTGCTTGGCTCACTCCTCTCTCCACTAGGGATCAGCCAACCCTTCCCTGACAGCCTTCCCTCTCACAAAAGCCCTGCAATAACCTGTTTACTTTCTGCCCGTAGTGGAGTCGCTATGTGCCTAGTTCTGATCAGAGGCTGCTCCCCAGCGCCCCCTGCAGGCTCCCAACCAAAGCAGCACGGGTGATGCTACTGCAGGCCCAGGGGAAAGCTAAGCTGGCACCCTTTGGGAGCTGCCTGGGCAGCCTAGACTCCAGCAGGGGACCATGGGAGCACAGGGGGGCCAGCCCTAGCACACACAGCCCAGCCGTGACTTTGGACAAGTTTGCAAACCACCCTCACCTCACCAGTCTCTGCTTGCTCACCTGTAAGTCCTAAATGGGCTCCTGCTTACAAGGTGCTGCCACCTGCTCGCTCTACCTACCTACCTACCTACCTACCTACACACACACACACACACACACACACACACACACGGGTTGAAGAGACACAGGCAGTCAGGGGGACCACTGGCTGAGACATCCTCCAGAAAGCTCAAGCACCCTGTAGTCCCCTCACAGAATGCCACCCAGCAAGAGCAAGCACCTGACCCAACCTTGGACTGCAGGCCACCTATGGTCAGGGCCAGGGGACTCCAACCCTGGGGCCCATGGGAGGTGGCACTGAGGCACCGTGGCATTGCATCTGTTTGCACAGATGGCAGCTCATCAAAGGACCCCAGATTAGGGAGCTCAGGGATGTAGCAATAGGGAAGGCCAACTTCCAGACAGAACAGCATGCAGTACCCTTGCAGGCCCTAGGGGTGAGGCTGGGACCACCCCTGGGCAGCACCCTGAATCAAGGACTCTGAGATAAGTGAGGCTTTGTCCACCCCACAAGGCTGGAAGGAGGACAGGACCCCCACTGTCACACCAGCAAGGAATAGAGAGCTGTATCCCAAGGCCCAGGGGTCCTGCAGTAGGTGGTCAGAAACATGGGGTGAACGTACTGAACTCAGCCACGGCCAGCTTTGCTCTGGACAGAGTTCCTGTCCTGGGACTCCATGGCTCTGAGCAGGGCTTCCAAATGCTCTCCCAGACCTCTGCCCTGGCCAGTCTCAACACAGCCTTCTGCTGTTGCTTGTGGTCCAAAGCTCTCAAATGGCCCCCACCCCACCCGGCTTCCCCAACACACACTCACAGGGCAGGCACATCACATGTTCCTCCATCAGCTCCACCTCCCTTCACACCCAACCCCTCCGCCTTTAATGTCCTTCAGGTACTCCTCCTGCAGGGCTCACTCACTGAGTCAGCCCCTTGCAAACACTTCTAGGCAGTGCTGGGGCCCTCTCTGCTCGGTCTTTCTTCCCCCACAAGCTGTTCTACTAGTTCAGGGACTCTGAGGCTCACTTCACTCTTGCCCTCGACGGTGGCTCACCCTTAGCAGGTGGCCCTAACAATGGGATGGGGAAAATGACCTATGGGAACCCAGGCAGAGCTGAGCTGAAAACTGGCCTGATGCCGGTGAGCTGTGTGACCCTAGATGAGTTCATTAGGCCCTCTTGCCCTCAGGCTCCTCATCTGTAGTGAATCCCCTGGGCGGTGCAAATGGTGAGTAATACATTGGCTGCATGGTTCTATTTATATAGGTGAAGTAGCCAGAAGAGGCAAGATGATGGTTGCTAACCAAAAGGCAGGAGGTTTGGGTCCACCCAGAGTTGACTTGCAAGAAAGGCCTGGCAATCTACTCCCCAAAATTTGTCATTGGCAATACAGGGGAACACACACATAGGTTTCCATGAGTTGAACTCAATTATACAGAAATTGGGTTGCTCAATACGAATTAGATGAGGGGCTCTAAGCAAAGCACTAGCCAGCACTTGCAAGCTGTAGCGTTAATGACGATAGTACTTCCCCCATTATTGTTAGTTATGGGACAGTCTACAAAGTAGCAACACCCCAAAAACAGCAAGGTCAGAATCAGTTGGCAAGACACCTAGAAATACATGTACCTGTTTATATAAATATAGGAGCCCTGGTAGTATAGTGTGTTATGCATTGGGCTGCTAACTGCAAGGTCTGCGATTCAAAACCACCAGCTCACAGGATTTCTATTCCAGTAGTCACAGCCTTGGAAACCCACAGGACAGTTCTACTCTGTCCTACTGGCTGCAGCGAGTATACCAAGTACATAAACACATGGAGCCCCGCTGGTGCTGTGCGTTGTTGGGCTACTGCCCACCGGCAGTTCCTCAGGAGAAAGTTGGGGCAGTCAGCTCCTCAAGAGATTGACAGTTTTGGAAAGGTACAGGGGACTTTCTATTCTGGTGTTGTGGTTATGCATTGGGCTGTGATCCGCATGGTTGGCAGTTCGAAACCACCAACAGCTCCATGGGTGAAAGACAGCCTTCAACTTCGGTAAACAGTTACAGTCTCGGAAACCCACAGGAGCATCGACTCGGTGGCAATATAGGCCAGAATCAGCTCTATAGCTGTGGATTTTAGGGTGGACATAAATTTCTGCCCTGAAACTCCCTGTTTGAAGGTGCCCCTGGCGCTGGCCCATGGGCGACTCTGGGCGCCAATGGCGTGGTACAGACGCTCAATTGAAGCTGACACAGGGTCTGGTTCGAGTCTCAGTTCTCCCACTCCCTTGGGATATTCTCGGGACCCATCCCGTCCACTTCCGGGGGGTCGTCGGGGAGACCTAGTGCGCAACCAGGTGCTCACGGCCACCTCCAGCCCCACCTCGTGGGTGTCCGCGGCTGCATCCCAGAGGCTGGCCCACGTCGGCGAGCCCTTCTCCAGGGTACTTCCCTGCCAGGCGAACCCGACGGGCCTGCACGCCCGGCACCTTCCTCTGCCCGGGCCCAATGGGCGACGCGGCGCGGCCGGCCCGACAGTGAACGCAAGATGTGCCCCAAATCCCGCTTCCCCATCCGGCGCAGGGGACCCGTGGTCCCGCCGTCCCTCCGCCCCAGCTCCGAAACGGCCTCCCTCCCGCGGACTGGGGCCTCACCATGGCGGCCGCTCTGCCACCCGGGGCGGCCTCCGACTTCCGTGGCCCCGCGGCCCCAACTCAAGGGCGGCCGGCGGGTCAGAGGCCAAAGGAGGCAGGAAAGGCGCGTGCGCGGGGCCGCACCGAGCTGCGCGCCTTGCCGGCCTCCGAGGGGAGGCGCGTTCCGGTGACGTAACGGGGGTGGGGTGGGGGCGGAGCCTGCCTCAGTTCAGACTTGAGAATTCAAGAGTGGGTTCTCTTTAAGACCCTGGGCCCTGGGAGCAGCAGAAGGAAGGTGAGGATTCAACGTGGGGCAATTTCGTCCCATGATTTTCTCAAAGCATCAGAGCTAAAATTATATGAAATAATCATACAATCCCTTCTATGAATAAAGTAAAATATCTGATTGTTACAATCAGAAAATAGGGGAGCCACAAAATACATTTTATCCCAGGTTCCTTTTGCCTAGGAGGTTCTTTCCCAGGCTCCTGTGAGGCCCACATGTCCTTCCAGTCTTTGCTCAAATGTTCCCTTTTCTCTGCGAATCTCCTGTCCCCCTCACCAGTTCCCTGACTATTGTGACTCTTTCCAAGGCTGGACATCTTTCATGGGAGCAGACTGCCTAGCCTTTCCAATAGCACAGCGATTAAGCACCCCACCAGCAAGGCTCCTGTAAATTTCTTCCACATCTCTCTTCCTTCTGGTTATTTCTCTGCACAAGCCTGGTTAGACAATACCAGTGTAGAACAAAGCTTCTCCCCTTGCCCATTCTCCTGTCCCCTGCCCCTTCCTAGCCAGCACGAGTGAACAGCACACAAGGTGGCCAGCTTAGAAAATTTTAATCACTGAGGATATCCTGGTGTGTGCAGGCCCCTGCCTGTGGGGCTCTCAGCGCTGGGCTACCCCTTTTGCCTGGCTTCAAGCCTGGAGAGCAGGAGCAGCTGGTCTTAGAGCCTCCAGGCTGGTGCTGCTGCTCCTGGTAGGGGGCCAGCCCCTGAGGCCCTTGACTAGAACTGGGACAGCAGGCAAGATATGGTGGCATATAGGCGCTGAAGGCACGGGCAAAGCCAGCTCAGACTGGGACCAACGCAGGTCAGTAGGTAGGATGTGTGTGAGGCCTAGGGCCTGCCCAGGGCCATGCACAATACCCCCCCTTCCCCGAGTCCCAGGCTCCACATGCTAACAGGCAGCCATGGAGAAGCAGCTGTTCCCAGAGAAAGCAGAGGTTAGGGCAATTCCCAGTGGCTCTGGGGTTGAGAGGCCACTGAGGGGCCCAAGGCCAGAAAGCAGCCAGCCTTCTGGGGATGAGGTGCTGGGGCCAGAGAGGTGTCTTCCAGTCTGAGGATGAGACATGAGGTGTGCAGGGCCCAGGTGGTCTAGGATGAGGCAGCGCAGGTGAGGCCAGGGATGAATGATGGCTAGTCCTGGGGGGAGGGTAAATGAAGATGTGGGACGTACATCCTGCAGGGATGGGGGGTCAGGGCAGTGTCGGGGTCTACCCATCCACTCACCCACTCATCCTCATCTACACCCTCAAACGCGTCCTGGGGCAGTGGGTCCTCTCGGTTGCCCAGCTTCGCCACCATGGCAGTCAGCAGCTGGGTGGGTGGATGAGAGACAAGTTGGGAAAAGTCTGAGGCCGAGGTCCGTGGAGTCCACACAACAGCCTTGTGCAGTCAGACCCTGGCCAAATGGGGCGGATCTTCGCGAGAAGGACACTGACATAGGTGCATCGGCAGACACAGGCCTGAGGAGGCGGCCTCCTCACCCTGCCTGCAAACTCCTATATGGAGACCAAGGTCCCCTTTGCACTTCAGCAAGCAACCCAGAGGTTGCTTGCCGAAGGCTGGGCAGAGCAGGACTCTCATCTGCCCCAAGAGCCTCGAGCTTAGTGGGCACAGCAGGCCGGGCACCCAGGGCCTTGGAAGGGTCATGACCACACTATGGGCTGAGAGTGGCTGGAGAATTGAGACTCTGTACCCGCACCCCCTACCTCTTCCTTCTTTTGCTGGTCTGACTTCTCCTCCAGGTACAATGTCGAGGGGGCCCGTCTTGCAGGTGCCTCTCGTGGGGCCTGGCTCACTGGGGAGAGGGCAGGGAAGACATGAGAGAGAATCATGGCTGGGAGAGCCTCGCCCAACCCTTAGGCATCTGCTCTAAAGATGTCCTAGGCATAGCACCAAGGTTCACTGGAGCTACTGGACACAAATGTGCGTGTGTTTGTGTGCGTGTGAGAGAGAGAGAGATGCACACACAGACCATGGGCCCTGCCCTCCAGGGGCACACCACCCGCTTCCCCACAATCCTTGGGAGTTCCAGAAGCTTCTGGGTGGTGGCAGACTAGAGATTGGACTGGGCCTTCTGCCCCTTTCTCCACTCCCATCACTGCCCCTGCCCTACTCTACCCTGTCCCACCTCGAGTCCCTGATCCCACCTGGGGTCATGCCAGAGGGCTGCAGGCAGAGGAGCTGGGGCTGCCCATTGGCGCCTCCCAGCCAGGCCTTGGCACTGAGCACCGGCTCCCACCTCATGGCCGTGTCTGGGAATACATCATCCTGGAAGAACTCTTTCTGCAGGGAGAGAGCAAGGGGTCCTTTTGAGGTGCAGCCCAGGATGGTGGTGGTGGTGGTGGTTGGGGTGGTGATCACAGGCATCTGTCTTCAGAAGGTATGGTAAGACCTGAGGTCCTCCCAACAGTCTTGGGGAAAGCAGCTACCCCTCCTGTGGGACACAAAAGGCTTTTCCCCCAGAATGTCTCCCCCAACTATATGCCAAACCTAGGATGCTGCTTGCATCACATAGTAAATGACAGTACACTTGGAGTCAATGCAAGCTGGTTAGAGGTTAGTCTCCTTGTGGGTATCAGTCATCTAGAGCAATCAGACTATAGTCTGTCCCACCCTGAGTAGGGCCCCACTCCTTCTGATAAGGACAGTGGATTGCTTCCCTGAAGGAGAGCTCAGAGACAAGGTTGAGCCCACTCAAGGGTGACCAAGGTTAGGTTGCCATCTTCAATCTAGGGTCTGCCCATCTTGTCACATAGGTACCCCTAATCCCTCCACTTCCTATTGCGTGTAGACCCCTAGATCGTCCCCCTCCCATTGCTTGTATTGCCTATGGTACAACCCCATCCTGTGATGTATGTGATTACCTGTAATTGGGGGCTTACAAACCCCCTAAAGATATGTAAGCCTTGGTTAGAAATATATGTGTCTCCCTCCCCTCTTCTTCTTCTCCCTCTCTCTGCGCAGACCTGGCTGATGAGATCATGGCCATCCCTGAGGTGAGCATGCTACTGTGAAATGTATTTGACTCTTTTATTTTACTCTCCCTCCATTGCTCCTAGTCTCTATTACTTTACTATAATCTTTATATATTATTGCCGTATAATTGCCTGTGAACCCTGCGATATTGTTAGAGGCTGGCTTACTCTTAACACCGTCTCAAAGTAAAGAATGAGTTCGTTTGGGTATAGGGCCAGGCAGGGCCCGAAGCCCGACAGCTCCGCTGGGGAGGGGTGGGAAGCTGATGGTGCGAGTCCTGGGGGCCGAGCTTACCCTGACTCGAGGCAGCCGAAAGGCCACGGGCTCCAAGGAGGTCTGGCGGAGCCTCAAGCATCGAGCAAACTCTACTTCCCGCACATCACACTCAGTCTTGGGCAGGAGGACAAAGCCCTGGGGGAAGGAGAGTGGTCAGAGTGGTTCTGGGGACATGGAGACCCCCTAGGGGGCCAGTGTTACCTAGGACCTCATTGTGCTGGTAACTGTGTGTGTACACTCCCTGGGGAAGGAAGTCCCAATGTGTAGGGTTTGCCTGTTCCTGTGGTGTAAATACTCCCATCACGCTGATTTGAAGCAGACATGGAGCAATGGGAAGAAACCTGCCACCACACATGGCACAAACTCCAAACCAGACCAAACTCACTGCCCTGGATGTTGACTCACAGTGACTGGTAGGACAGAGCAGAACTGCCCCTGTGGGTTTCTGAGACTGGAACTCCTTATGGGAGTAGAAAGCCCATCTTTCTCCTGCAGAGCGGTTGGTAGTTTGGAACTGCTGACTTTACAGTTAGCAGCCACCTGGTAACCACTACATAACCACTCCGAGTTCCTCACTCAGAGCACAAACAAAACACACACACACACACACACACAGCCACTGAGTCGATTCTGATTCATAGCCACCTTATAAGACAGGGAGACGTGTCCCTGTGGGTTTCCAAAACTGGATATCTTTGTGGGAATAGAAAGTCTCATGCTCTCCTTCGGAGCAGCTGGTGGTTTTAAGAAGCTGACTTGTGGTTGGCAGCCAGTGTGTAACCCACCATTGCACCAGGGATCCATCCACCGGATGCAATAGCCAGGAAGCAATGGTTGGCTTTTGAGTGGTTATTACCTTTGCTTTTAATATAACTAATTTAATTTTCAGCTCACACAGGGAGACTCTGGGTGGTCCAAATATCAGTGAGCTCAGCTGATGGCTGAAAGGTCAGAGGTTCAAGTCTGCTTAGAGATGGTTTGGCAGAAAAGCCTGGCGATCTACCTCCCCACAAAAACCAGCTGATGCAATAACTATGGACCCAGCCCTGCCCTGATACAGCAGAGCCATCACGAGTCAGACTTGTCCAGGTGGCAGCTGGCAAGTTTACTGATGTTTAATACTGATTGTGTTTCAACAACTGGCAAGCACAATGTCTGGAAATGTCACAAATTGCATGGGGCGGGGGGCTCATCCCTCAGCCCCAGTCTGACTCATAGCAACCCTACAGCAGAGGCAAACTGCCCCCGAGAGCTTCTGAGGCAGTCCACCTTTACAGTCTCACCTTTCTCTTGAGAAACAGGTGGCTGGTGGTTCGAACCACCAACCTTTCAGCTAGCAGAGCAATGCTTAACCCACTACACCATGACAGCCCCTCCGTGATCCTAGCAGGGTCTTCCAAGTCACTGTGGACTTGGTTTTTGAGTTTTCTAGCTCTGGTGGTGCTCTGGGTATGATTAGGTTGACAACCACAAGGTCAGCAGTAAGAAGCCACCAGCTGCTCTTCGGGAGAAAGATGAGGCTTTCTACCGAGCCTCAGACACCCACAGGGGCAGTTCTACCCTGTGCCACAGCGCTGCTATGAGCCTGAGTTAGAATCCACTTAATGGAAGGGAGTGCCCGTAGGACCAGGGCAGTGACTGCACTTCCCTGCAT